CATATGAAACAGACGGGGATGCTCGTCGGAAATTTTGAATTTAACCCCTAAAGGAGACCATCTGGGCGTGGCTCAAGCTTTTTGTGACCCCTAAAGGAGACCAATCTGGGCGTGGCTTAAGCAAATTTTGAGCCCTAAAAGAGACCGCTTAATCATCGAATGCTTTTATCTAATAGTAGTGTTTAAAAGCATTGTCATAAATCTCAAGTTCTTTGTGGAACCCTAAACGAGACCTTAGCGGCTGAAAATATTGGCGCTTTACCCGGAACACCCTAAGCGAGACCAAAATCCAAAATTTACACCCCTAAGCGAGACGACGAGCATCCCCTTCTGTTTCATATGGGAGTCCCCCCCCCCCGGATCATGAGTTCACGTTTCCTTACTTTATCCCATAATTCAGTCTGAAGTCAGAAGTGTGATTAAGAAATAATATTGCAGTACTATGCAGTCACGTCATCTGTTTTTGAAGCTTCAAGGTCGGTTCAAAAAATTAAACAAAAGTGTGCGGGATCCATCTTCTGGGTTCAAAACGACCGCTGCTGAAAAAAAGAGGTACAATTAGCGCAAACAGTCACCGCGAGGCCAATATGCTAATATGATACAATTGTCTCGACCAGACTAGGCTCAAAACCTAAAATCGATCATCCAATACATACTAAACTCATTGGAGTTCTTTGAAAGTGGCTTTGAGGAAAATATAAAAAGTAAAGTCTCTTGCTAGTGAATTGCTGCAGTGTTTTTTGAAAACACTGGAACATTCCACTATCCTAATAAATGTCTAGGACGTCTAGGACTTCTCAACATTTTAATATTCAAATAGATTTTTAATACGCTGTGCCTATATGGCCGGTAACCGGCTAGCCTGTGAACAGGCTATTTTTTTCCCCAGACAGAGAGCCTGTTCACAGGCTAGTAACCGGCCAAGGTTTTCAAAACACTAAATGGCCGGCAGTCCTATATTATCAGTAAATTTCACAAAATCGAAAGATTCTAGCTAATCTAAACTATCAGATGCCGATTTAGAAAAGTCAAGCGATCCTGAAATGCTTTACAGATCTCAAGTCTAGTGTTTGGTTTGCGCTGGGCTCAGAGGAGGAAATCATGTTTTGTGACACTTAGAAATTTTTTCAGCTCGACTGCCGGTCAAGGTTTTCAAAACACTAAATGGCCGGCAGTTCTACATTCTCAGTAAATTTCACAAAATAGAAAGATTCCAGCTAATGCAAACTATCATATCTCGATTTAGAAAAGTCAAGCGATCCTGAAATGCTTTACAGATCTCAAGTCTAGTGTTTGGTTTACGCTGAACCATGTCTTGTGACACTTTTCAGCTCGACGGCCGGTCAAGGTTTTCAAAACACTAAATGGCCAGCAGTCCCATATTCTCAGTAAAATTTCACAAATCGAAAAAATTCAGTCGTTCTGAACTATTATAAGTCGTGATCCTGATCAAAGTCTCTACGCGTTAGTTCCCTTCTGGAGCTGAAATACACTTCAACATTATCTTGTCGACGTTAGAGCGGTTTTCACTTGACTGTCGAAAGGGATTGCTGTCGGGGAAAGAAATAGGTGATACTTAACTTGATTATTCTGTGATTAAATATTAATTAGAAATTGACATTTGTAGCGCAAAAAAGTTAGATTTCGTGACATTAGATTTCACAATAATGTAGACAAAGTCCGAGTATATTTACGATATAAAATGATGTAACTGCATGCATTTTCTTAGGCTAAATAAGGTGAAAGAACGTGGGATTTTGTAATAGACGTTTAATTTAGATACATTACAATGGGAACTTTTACTGTACATGTGATTAATGTAAAAATACTGCCTTACGCAAGGATAGTAGAAAAACCACTGTATACTTAGAATGTTTTAGTTGAGTTGAGTTGATCGATTCGTTGATCGTTGAGTTACGTTGATCGTTGTGTTACGAACGTTGAGTGTGTGAGAATTGTATATCGCAGTAGATTGTTGGATTTATTTGCATTAAATTGTGTTGTTACATCGAAAGATACAGTCCTCTTGATTTGTTTGAACCAGCGGAGCGGGGTTAAAAGAATTCCGCAACAATTGGTTTTGGTTTTGGTTTTGGTTTTACTACGACCTTTGGTTGGCTAGTCTATTTACTTTGGTTTTGGTTTTACGACAGTCAAGTGAAAACCGCTCTATGATGAAACAGGCGCGTTAGACGCGTTAGGGACTTTTCCCACCAGTTTTCCGCGGAGGCCGCATGAAAGGTCAAGATGTTATGACGTCAAACGTCGCCTGTCACGACATGCTTTGGACTCGAGTCAACAAAAACATGATATAGAAATCCCACAAAACCGGTTGGTTTGATCAGGATCACGATCAGGATGACGATATGGATCATGATAGTTCAGAACGGCTGAGTTTTTTCGATTTGTGAAATTTACTGAGAATACAGGACTGCCGGCCATTTAGTGTTTTGAAAACCTTGACCGGTTACCGGCCATATAGGCACAGCGTTTCCAATAATAGCTGTGAAGTCGCACCCAATCTGAGTTAAAGAATGTTATGGTTCAAGTTAGTTTTTAATACTTTCCCGTGAACCATAACATGCTTTAACTCATATAGGGAGCGACTTCACAGCAATTAAAATCTATCTGAATTGCCAGTGAGATTTTGTATTGTAAGTTTGACAAGTGCTCATCACTGAAAAGCCCTCAGGGGGTAATCAAGAAGACTTCGCTCTTTCAAAGAACTGCAATGGGCTTTAGCTGGCTTTATTGTTTCCTCGGCCCGGGGGGGGCACTTGGGTATTTTTTGGGTGGGTATGTGCCGCCCGGGACTCCAAATTGGCACCCCGTTCTAGGAAAAATTTCCCCCAAAATTGATACCCCGTTATAGAAATGGGCCAATTTTTTATACTCCGTTCTAGGGTGCAACAAGAGTACAACGGTTTGCTTGTCAACGCATTGAACCGTATTTTTAAAAGCAATCTGTCCCTGAATACTTTCAAATGGCTGCTTACAAAAGTGGAGCTTTCGTGCGTTCGAAATATTATACCCCGTTCTAGAAAACGCCTCTGAAATGAATACCCCGTTCTTAATCAGGAGCTTCAAAATCACGACCCCTTTGGGCGGCACATACCCGTATAGGTAATGTATGGGAGTACCCCCCCCCGGGTTCCTCGGGGACATTAAGCTTCAAACTACTGTCAACCAAGAGAGAAATCTCTCTTGGGTTAACCCCTAACATCGGAGGACATTTTCCTGCTGATGATACTCTACGAAAGAAAAATTCAATATAAAAGACTCAGTCTCCGAAATAGACAAAAATGGATTTAATTTGCATATAAAGTTGTGGTCACAAATCAAAAGCACGCGGACGCAAATTGTCTTCGTGAAAAATACTGATCGGAGGTCGCTATGGAAAAAAGACAAAAGATGAACGTTTTACATTCTTTTAACTCCGTTTGAAATGAAACACAACAGTTATTAGCAAGACTCAGACTTCTATCTCAATTCTCAAAACATTTTTCACAAAAAGAAGGCTGTAGCGTAGGGTTACGTACAATGAGTTTGCACCTGGGATGTTAGGAAGAAACTAACTGAACAGTGAGGACAACATTACCAACTTGATAAAAATGAACACACATAAGTTCTCACCAGCTCCTCCAAATTTCTCAGTGGGTTTCCTCTTGTTGGCAAGGAAGCTTTCTCGGTCTGATGGTATAACCCTGTATAACTCTTCTCCTATGGAGTTGCATCGCTTCATCTCCTTCTTCTTGTATAGGTAGAATTCTTTCTTCACCATGGATTTCTGCGCCAACATGCCTCTGCTGAGCTATACGTTTCCATTCAAGGATTTTTATAAATATGGCTGTGATGATTCCACCGAGAACAAAAAATATCAGACATGGGTACATTTCTTTGCCAAATCTTATTTCGTTAGGACGAGAGTCTTTCCTTAATATCGGCTCCTGCTCGGAATTAGTTAATTACTTTGTTTGTCACTTGTTATTATTATCAACCAATCATAGACCTCGTCTGGGGTCGGCGCACTTCCGCCATTTGATTTTTAAGACATTTTTATAGAAAAGAGCCCATTTCTGAAACTGAATGTGGTCTGACTTACGCCCGGTTTTACGTGACATTTCTAAACTGATCTTAGACCTCCGTCAATTATCTTAGTCATCTCAAAATGAGAGGTCGCCTTTTCCGTCCTCCTGTTTCAATAAAGTTAAACACTTCAGTTTTTTCAATTTTGTTATGGGCTTTAGTGTTTTCTCGGGGACATTAAGCTTCAAACTACTGTCGGCCTTTGGAGGCAATTTGCTGCTGATGATACTCTACAAAAGCAGAAGACTATCAATAGGCTCCTGACGACAGACAGATTCGATATAAAAGACCTCGTCTGGGATCGGTGCACTTCCGCTCGTGATATTCATAGACATCTTTTTTTTTTTTTACATAATAGCCCATTTCTGAAACTGAATGTAGTCTGATTTACGCCCGGTTTTACGTTACAATATATCTAAAGTGATATTAGACCTCCGTCAATTATCTTAGTCATCTCAAAAATGTTTTGAGAGGTCGCCTTTTCTGTCCTCCTGTTTCTCCTGTCGCCGTGCATAACCTTTCCGGTGTGACCAAGGACCCAAAGTAAGACGCCACCGTATATTACATGTCCCATTTTTGAAGGCAATGAAGAAAGCCGATGTACTTCATGAGAATTGGCTCTAATTTTTCTATCATATGTGTACAAAAGCAAAAGTGCTCGCGGGCTCAAAATTTTACTTACAAACTTGCTCAACGTAATAAAGGCGTTTTTTTTTTTGCGTTTCGTCTTGAATGTTGGCTATCGAAGGCGGAGAACAAAAAAAATTATTTGTAAAATAAGAGTCTAAAATTGTACATTACGGTGCGCAACAGAGGTGCAAACATCATTTTACGGGGGTGGTAGCCAGAAATCTTGAACTACCACGTGATTCCCTTCGACCAATCAAATTTCTAGAAAAGAGGCGGTCGAACTAAGTCGTGTGTCGCATGTGGTGTAGAAAACCGTACTACAGTTTTATTACTTTTTCACGAAGTTTTTAGTATATTTTGTATATTTTTCAACCATTTATAAAGCAGGAGAGGATCTTCAACAATGGTAGACCAGCCTGGTGCTGGTGGCTCTCGTTCGTACAAAATCCGCGGGTACACACGAGAGCGACAATCTGCGAAACCGTACGCTCGTCCACCTGGGAGAAGGAAGGTACGTGATCCGAACTTTGGTTAACACCGTTTCAAATTTTTTCTTGAAAGAGGAAGAAAAAGTGTTATTTTGTTCTCGAAAAAGTATTTTATTGTTTTTACTTCGTGTAAGCATACTAGACGTCAGATTAACTCGTTCATTTTGTCTTCTGCAGGGTGTTATTGAAACAGTGAAGGATTTCTTCTCTCCGGCATGGTTAGTTGATTTATTTAAAGGAAATCAGAGATCACAGCCCGTCGAAATCGACTTTGATCAACAAGATGAGCATAATGAGGTTTCACAGACCATCGATGAAAGCTATACTTCAAACTCTAACCTGCGATCCTCAAGAAAACGGGCAGAGGTTTCTACCGCAACTACAGTCGGTAACGGCCAGTTGGGATCGTTAGGACCGGGATATTTCTCCTCTATCCTTCGAGAACGGGGACTCTCTGGCGAAACTCCTTCTACTTCAAGACCTTCGCGTACGTTTGGTTTATCTAGTGGAAATGATCGTTATGGAGAAGCTTCTACCAGTTCGGTTAGATCGGAAGAATCTGAGAGCGACGTTCCCAGCTCGAGACGAGCAAGCGAGAGCGTGCGACCAGAAACCGCCGAGGTAGGTTTTTACACCGAACATAGATTTCGTGACTTGCTACTTAGTTGAAAATAATGTTCCTAATCATATTTTTAAACATATTCTTGTAGAAGATGGTGAAAAGTCTTGAAGGTTTTTCATTTACAGGTGAACTGCCTCCAGCTACAGTGCATTTGTGTAAAATTAAAAGGCCAAGGCTAATGATATTGGGGAATAGTAATTTCATCAAATTTACTATCTAGTTAACTGGAAAGTTCTTTTGCTTGTAGTGTATTATTATGTAACTTCGGGTATGCTATCCTTTTTGGTGCTTGCCTGCCTTCTTTACTCCCTCTTTTTTTTCCTTAGCAGTGAGGTTTTTCCCTCGTCGTGGGTTCACTTAACCTTCTTGAATATTGTCCAATTTCCTGTACGTATGTAGCTTTCTAATGCCTCTGTCTATACCTTGGTCTGTAAGAATTCATGAATGGATAGATGTGTGATGGTATGCATGTAATGTCCCTGGAAATGATGTGTCATGAAAAATTGGCATTCAGCTTAAGATGAAATTTAGAAAATTGCTTGCCCCTTTAGCAAGCTGTTGCTTCAGTTTAGTAGCCCATACTATAGCTGTCAATAGCTGTCATAAGCAGCCAGCTACTGCGGTAAAATCAGCTGGGCTCTCTAAGTTTGAACACGAGTCGAACATAATAAGTATAAGCAGATTCTGTGATAAGTGACCTACTACTTTCCCTGAGAGACTAGCTACTACAACAATCATGGCAGTCCTGGCAAGCAGTTTGGCAGGCCTACCAAACCTAACTGACATTTTTATTTTGCAACCAAAATGTTGCTTGCCCATTGAACAACTCGGAAGCAAGCTAGCCTGATGGGCTGCTACACTAGCCCTTGGCTATTAGATGATGCTTTTGTGACCATCCCCCCTCTTTTGTTGTCTTAGGAAGTGTAAAAGCTGAAGATCGCTCTTCCTCTTGTTATAATTAATGTCAAAATTATGGCCCATTAGTGATAAAACAACTTATTTAAACAATCAGTCTCAAGTGGGTAATCAGCGTGCAAAGAAAGTAGTGTCTGATAGCCTGGAGCTGGTGGATTTTGCTATCAGGCTAGTGAATTCTGTTTTTAACTTGCCCAATGGGCAAGTCATGTTTTGTGAGGAATTCGAATGACAGAAGAACTCTGCAATCAATTCTGCCCGTCAAAAAGCTTTTGGGGTTAGTTGAAATGACATCTGGGCTAGTAAATGCTAGCTTCAACTTGCCCGAATAGCGAGCTGTAAAAATGATTTTCTTTGCACCCTGCTAGTGTACAGCTGCAAAATGATTCTGTATCAACAAGCATTATCAGAAGGACACTACTAATCTACATTAAATTACTGTAGCTCAATAATATTATTGTACAGCTGCAAAAGGCACCTGACAGCTGAAGTACATGTGGCTAAGAGATCAGTTGTGTATCAAAACTGTGGAAATTAACCATAGCATGGTAATATTAACCAAAACTCAGCAACATCAACAATGATTTTGAATTTTGCTCAAAATCTTTTGGCAATCTATTTCTGCCTGGACCTTTTGGTAGTAAAATTTCTTGGTGACAACAATAGGGAGTTTTTGCAACAGCGACAACGAACAGTCAAAAAAAATAATACATTTAGAATGCCAAAAAAACAACTTTGCACGTGCATCACCCTTTTTTGTACATTTCTTAGCCGTTGTTGCACAACTGCGACATGAAACTTCCTAATTTCACTCGCCTGCTTTATGGAGTAGGTGAGCACAACACAAGAAGTGTCTTTTTCTAAACTCAGTTATGGTCCTTTCAGATTTTTCCCAGAAAATTTCGCCAACATTTGTCAATTTGAATGAAATTAAACAAGATCAACGAAGTTTGAAACAGTGCGAATCCACTTTTTAAGTGACTTTTTGGTTTGTTGTCATTCAGAAATTTTGCTACCATGGCAACGATTTCTCTCTATTTACTTTGATCTAGCGAGGAATTCGAGTTGTCCAAATTTAAGTTAACCGAGTAAAAATGACTGAAAAGTATGGTCAAATCCAAGAGAAATGGCACTTAATGTTTGTGGAGAGTTTGATGTATTGGGGTTCCACTGAATTCATGTAATATAAAGGAGTTTTAAAATTAATGGACTTTTAAGGGCCTTTTTGTGAATTTCAAACAGTGGATAATCAGGTTGCATGGTGTCTCACTTGTGACAAAAAAACTAGCTTAATAAGATTTTTTTCACATTATGCAGGAGCAAGAGGATGACTTATCAATAACCCATGAAGTCAGACAGGTAGCAAGCTCATCAGAGTCAATTATAACGTCTACTCCTGCCTTATTTTTAAACCCTGGAAGCAAACGACGAGCAAATACTTCAATATTTGGTGAACCATTACCTACTGTGGAAGCTTCATCATCAGGGAGTGCAAACCAAGCTAGACCACAGCTGTTTCCTCCATCTTCTGAATACCGTCCAGGCCCACAGCCTTTCTCCTTACCTAAGAACAGGCCATCTTTTTCTGTTTCTGCATTTGGTTCCACTATAAAGGTAAGCACTTTGTGAGTCCTGTACTATTAGGGAGCTTAAGCAACTGTGACAACAAGGACAATGACAATGTCGAAAAATAAATTGGTTTAATGAGCAGAGCAACACCACTGCAGGTGCATCATGCTTTTTAGTACATTTCTGTGATGTCCACTACATGACTATGACGTAAAACCTTCTATTGCGACATTTTATGAAGAATGTGAACACGCAAAGAAGACTTTTCCTTTTCTTTCTGAACGTGTATAAAATCGTTAGGAATTCAACTGCGGGAAAAATCACCCACATATGATAAATTGAGCAGGTCTGAATCGACATGATAAAGTTTGAGATGATGCAAGTTTTTTTTTTAGCGACATGTTCACTGCCATTGTCGTCATTGCTTAAGCGACCTACTGTCTTCTGTAGTTGTGTAAAAGTGCATTTTTATTCAATGATATGCATTATTTTTACATTATTTTTATCTGATGACAGCCCAAACCACCCCAACCTGGTGAGTTTTCCTCTCCATTTTACCGTGGAAGGACATCTTTTGGTGGAGCCTCATCCCTCCATTCTGCAGGATATAAGCGAATGAGAACAAATTCTCCAACACTAGGAGAGGTGAGTGTAATTAGCACATCACAGTGGAACCTCTGTTGTACAGACTTAGCAAGACTGTGGTCAATAGTTTAGATAATCAAGTCTGGATATTATTCACATCTTTCTCTTTGTTGCTCTCATCGTATTTGCAACATAAGGTTGTCCAGCCAAAAAAAAAATTATGACAGCTGTGAAGCCAGGAATGTACAATTCATGCCAGCATTACTTTCGGTCTTCAAAACACGTGAAGATCCTTTCCAAACAAACAAACAATGAAATAAACACCTATGTTTAGAGGGGATAACACTGGCCCTCCGGGGATGTATCTAAGGAAAAGCTAAGCAGGCTTTTTTCTTCGTCAAGCTGGCTTTCTCACACAAAACTGGGAGCCATGCCAAGCCGACCATGCAGCCCGACCTTTATTATATCTACACCACAAATCATTAGCAAATAACAGCACAAAAAGAGAGCTAACAAAACAACTGAAACTGAGCCTAGATACAAGATTAGCATACAACAATAACCAGAACTAAGGCACTACATGAAATCCTACAACAACCCAAAAAACGCATGGAGGGTGGGTGGGTGGGGCGGGGCAGGTCAGTGGCAGAAGGCAACAAAGACAAGTGAACTCTGAAAAACCATGTGACCTGAAGACCCCCTGCACACTCAAACCCATACTCCTAGCCGTGTTTGAGAAAAAAGTTTTCTGTTTCTTTCGTCCTCAGCCAGTGGAAAACCATACTTTTTACTCAACTGCACCTTTGAAATTACCCCATGTTTTTGTTTTCCAGAGCCATTTGAGCCAGTGGTAAGGTCTTTTTCAGCTGGTGAAATTAGCTGGCAGCCAGCTGTTAGGGACATGCCTGGTTCTCTAAGCCTCCCCATTTATTTTGAGACACTTTCCAGATCAAATTGGAAATTTTATTTGGTTTTTTAGGAGAGGGTAAAACCCTCATAGTCAGAGAAAAAACTCCCAGAGTAGAGAAGAGAACCAGTAATAATAATAATTCCTTTATTTACCCTTGGCAGTATTTATAGCACTATTGCTGGTGGGGCCAAGCAAATGCCTGAAACAAATCATTCAAATCAAACTTAAAAGGATTAATTAAAAATCCCAACTGGCTGGAGGCAAACCAGCTGGCTATTTACAAGTATGGTTGAGGATTTGAACTCGGACTACTGTGGACAAATCCATTTAGAGGTCAGGATGGAACTTGAACTCAGGGCCTCTGAATTGCAAGTTCAGGCCTCTAACCACTCCGCCATGCTGCCTCCTCTAAACTCAACTCACATAAATCATTAGCATTATACATTTTTGTTTTGTTTTCTATCTTCTCTAGGCTGCACAACCAGTGCGGAAAGTAATAACTCCAAAGCCTATTTCAAGTTAGTAGTTATTTTTTGCTGTAGCCCTTTACATTTTGTTTTACACGTGTCAGTATTTTGTCTCCATTGCTTACACTGTATGCAACAAAAATTTTGTTGTGTGGACAAGCTAAACCCTGACAAAGATAATTGTATGAATGGTCTCTATAAGCCCCCTCATTGACGGCATTAATTTTGTATTGGTTTCTTGTCCCTGAAATATAATGTACAGGTGTATGCAGTACTTTGTAGTTCTTTGTGAATGTGGCAGCATCTTTAAATAAAGATTAGTTTACTGTAATGGCATCTGTTTCTGTTGGCTGATATTTCATTGTTTCTTCATAAATATATCAGCTGGAAGTAGTGGTGTGACCAGCCAAACTGCAAAGAGGATTCTTGAAGCTTTAGAAAACATGTCCTCACCTTTAATTGTAAGTATTTTTTAAATACATTTTCATTGCAAGGCTGTTCTGAGACATTTTAAGGTGGAGGAATCAGTGCTCGAGACTAATGCTAGTCCACAGCCTAGCACAAGTGAAACATCATGCTACGCTAGTAAAAATGCACTCCTCCTTGCCCTTAGACCAGTTAGTTTAGTGGACAAAATAAGTTTTCTACAACTCTAAACCTTGGGAAGTTTGTTTTTTTCTCTAAAAACTTCATCAGTAGTTACTTTCTGTACGAAGAGAAAAAGAACTGCGATAAACGAACAGTCAGAAGTTTTCAACTAAGTTGGGAGAAAACTTATCCTTGGCTGTGATTCATCAAAGAAGAAAATGTTCTGTTTTCAGGAGTGGGTGTTGGTCTCAAACAGCAGTGCCAAGAGATTGGCAAATCCAAACTCTGCTTATGTCCAGGGACAGGCAATTTCTGTTGAGACTCAATTTAAAAAGGCATGAAAGTTCTGTTACCCCACATATTTATTTTTTTCTGGGCTTCTTTTTGGACCAGTGGCTTTTCCTCATGGGCTAATGAGTTATTTCACTTACTAGCCTATTGCCTTTTGTCCAAAAAAGTTAGTGTTGAGCACTGGGAATTTGGAGTGCTTGTTATGGCTTAAAAACAACTTTGATGTTACTCTTAGAAATGTTGCTTTCAATTTCCTGTGCCATTGAGTGTGAATAGCTGTGTTGTGTGTATTTTTGAAGCCTTTTTTTGGCAATCCTCACCAAAATTCTGAGCCTCCATTTTCAGAATTTGTTCGAAAAAATACAAAAAGTCCTGTTCTGTTTGTTTGTTTATTGGGAACAAGTAGATTTTCCTGTTAGACAAGAAATGTTTTGTGCACTTTAGGCCCATAACTTAAAAAAGAATGAACCAGCCCTGGAAAAGCAAATTTTGGACTCTGCTTGTCCTAAGGACAACTGACATTCAGGGTTTCTTTCATACCTGAGGTAATGAGATTCATTGTTTAGAGTAAATTCTTCACTTAACTTTAACAGGATGCTAGGAAAATTCCAACACCACCTGTGTCTCCTTCAGCTTCTCCGCTGTCCTTTTCGGTGAGTAAAAACTTCTTACTATATGTTTCAGTTCTGAATACAGTCGAACGTCCATGTGCAAACAAAATTGATCTCTTAACCCATTCGCTCCTGGAGATTTTGCCGAAAAACGCGTTTTGAAGCTAGTCGAGTGGTTTTCTGGTCACTGTCGTGCTATAAAGAGCTAAAACTTACCACAAACCGGTTTACAGGTCGTACACTTGGCGGCCTTCTGATCCAGATGCAAAATATCAGCTTGCGAAGTTCGGGCATGCGCAGAAAGCAAAATTTCGACATAGTTTTTGGGTTTAAAAGTGACACAGCAGTCTTGACTTTTACTTTTCGCTTTCTCTCCTCCCTTCTTTTTTCGCTTTTCTTGCCTCATTTTTTTTTTCTCTTTCTGGGCATTTAGTAGGCTTCATTTTGGTGGGAAGAGTTTTTAGGAAAGCTTTTAGGATCTTAGGATTAGGTGAAAGGAAAGGTAGGTGGGTAATGGAACAAGATTTTCGTGGAGATTTTCAGGTCCTTGTCACGTGGTTTTTTGCTTCTTTCTCCAGTGTCCTTGACTGAATTGTGCTCATTCTGGTATGGTTTGAAAGATCTCTTCACTCTGCACACGTGTGCGAAGAAAGTTGTCCTTGACCGTTAAAACTGATGACGTCACAAAGGGTAGAAAGGACCTGGATCCGCACGGGCGGTTACGGGCGGTTCAGGGGCGAATGGGTTAAGCAACCACTGATTCAAACCTCCAACATTCTCCCAGTCAAAATTTATTCCAACAGTTGGACCCTCTTGTCCTAAAGTGATCACGACCATTTTTCAGGGTGATTTTTATAATCTTTCATCATTTTAAACCTCTTGTAGCAAAGGCTTGGCACATGGTGTGATCTTTATGTTTGCTGAATGTACTATGATGCTCGGAGTGTGCAAAGAACTTTTAGTGAGAACATGGAATGACACATATTCTAACTTGCATACAATGAATTCTTGTTCAAAAAGTGGATGTGTTCATAACTCTTCTCTGAAGAAACCCCTCTTTTGAGGTTCTTTTCTTGCAAGTGAGTGGTCGCTTGCAGGAGGTTCCAGTGTATTAATCTGTTGCATGTTTTCGATATATCACTGCTAGGTCATAATTGTTTCACTCTTTAATCAAATGCTCCTTGAAAACTTAATTGATTCCTGTATATACCAAGCTGTCTCCTGCCACACCTTTATTCATATATCTTAACCATAATAATTGCTTCCCTTTATTGTTTACAGCCTGCCAGAAGAAAAAGGCCACCTATACCATCTCGAGCTGTAGGATCTCCTCGTTCCTTGAAGGTACATATTGGTTATCTGTAACATAATACAAATAATTGTACTTATATATAATAATGTTAACGTTCCTTTTGTTCACTCAAACCTCCTCTTCTCATGCAATCTACTTTGTTTTTTGTTCTGTCAGGCTCATTTTCCTGGTCCTCCTGTGCAAGATCTTTCTGCCCCTCAACGAGCCTCTATCTCCAAGTTAACTGCCAAAGAAACTGTATCTCCTGAGAGTACCGCAGTTTCATCCGCTGCTCTGTAAGTAGCCTAGTTCACCAATGTATCACCAATGTATTGATGTCTCATACCTTTTCACTCCTTCATGCGATTTCTGTGGCTATTGTTTAACAACACATATTTTTCGTATTCTTCGTTGTGCTTTACAAAAGAACGTCTTTTACCTGTCTGGTCACATAAAGGCCCAAGTATTTTCAATTTGGGACTCATTGTTTTTTGAACTCAATGGTTCTGGACTGGGACTTTGGACTTTTTGTCCATTTTTGCATTTGGCCATCACTGGGATTGAAAGGAGTAAAAAATCCTTAAAAAATTGATGAGGTAAATGGCCAGGCTCCAGTTGTTCAAACGTTGGATAGCGCTATCCACCGGATAAATCACTATCCAGCGGTTAAGTGTTAGGGAAACCAGTTGTGCTATCCAGTGGATAGAGATTTATCCAGTGGATAGCATTATGCAGCTTTTGAACAACTGGGGCCATAAGGTTACATTTAGTTTTTATTCCAATTGTTCAGATTCATTTTTACTAGTCCATATGACAGAAAAAGAGTAGGAGGTGAAATATTAACTGTAAGATTTGCTTGTTTGGCATTGCATTGACTGGTAAATGGTTTGGTCTAGAGCAGTAAATGGTTGCAGTGTGAAAATATTGTAAACTGTGTTTTTTTTTGTAAACATATTTACAAGAGATTGTCTCATTGTCAGTGTTTTTATTTGGGAACATAAGAAAATTCTGTGTTGCCAACAGGAATAAAACCCTTCCAGTTGGGAACTTGAAAATTTCATGTCTTTCCAAGTAAGATGATATGTGCTGTTCCTTGTCACAAACGTTCCTTTTGTACTTCTGCCCACTGGTTACCCAAAAAATCATATTTCAGGTAATTTTTGATAATTGGCTCATGTAAAAAGCTCCTTACTGAGGAGCTTTAAAGACACACTTGGGCAATACACCCAGAATGATGTCCTGTCTTTGCGTGAATTTGTGGCTTTTATTAATTCGTGGAAAATGTGTTTTTCCCCTCAGATTTTCTACAGCTACAACAACCATCCCAACATTTTCAAAGGTATCAAAAGTTTTAGTTAGTGCTGATGTGTTTTTTGTGTCTGCAGTTTTGTTAGCTGCATGCTCTTTCAAGTGGCAATATGTACTTTCATTTATCTGAGATTCTTAGCAGAATAAACGTCTTTAGCTTGTATGTTTTGTTTTCCCAATAGAGGTCCCAAGGGAACTTGCTCCATTACTCTGAAAGCTAAAAGTCCAAAACATCTTACATTAAAGAGATCATGCATCACTTGAAATTAATGCAAACAGAATGTCTCAGTCAAGATTACCATAAAGTAATGCCAATGAATCCAATATTGATAGAATGTGAAAACATTTTTGTTCATGAGTAAACCCAAAGGCAATTATTGTACTGGTAGGGTTTGTGTGGGTCATGGTAAACCTGGAAAGCCTTGAAATTTAATTTATTGTTGGTTCAGAAAGTCATGGAGAATTAAATGTAGGTTTGATAGATTACACATGTAGTCATTGCAGTTTTCAAATCAAAGACTTTGTGAGATAGAGAAAGTAATAAAAGTTTTGTGTCTGTTGAATTGGGTAAGGTAAAAAAAAATGCCCTTAAACAAATAAAGTTTTGAAATTTTTGAATATGATAAATGTAGTTAAACCTAAGTTCAAGGAAAACTTGAAGAGATCATGGAAAAAGTCATAGAACAATGTGGAATTTGAAGAACTTAGAAGAGTGTGACCCTGAGTGGTTGGGAGATATAGTCACTTGTTGTCTCTTTCAATAGATTGCAAAAAACATACCGTAAAATTCCGAAAATAAGCCCGTCCATGTATAAGCCCCTCCAAATATAAGCCCCCTAAACTCGTAATGCAAAAAACCCTCTGTTAAATCGCTCCTCCAAATATAAGCCCCCCAGGGGCTTGTACTTGGAAATTGCCCTCAAATACAAAGTAAAACAAAGCAAAAACTGTAAATTTCCTTCCAACTATAAGGCCAGCCCAATCGATTTTGAAATGCAAATTTCTCTCCATAGATAAGCCCCTCAAAAAGGGCCTTTGAAAAATATAGTCCCGGGGCTTACTTTCAGAATTTTACAGTATTGCTTAATCTCTGTCTATATACCATCAACAGTACCTATTTCTTTGCTAATATTAATCTGTCTTGTTTCAGCCATCAGTGCCATCCTTTACATCCACTCCTCTTCCAATATCTCTGTCACCTTCATCCTCCAATTCAAAGGGTGGAGGGAAAGTAAAAAGTGCAAGAAGTACAAGCCATTATACCCAGAGAGATAGAGGTGATGATAGAGGTGAATCAGAGGTATGTGAAAACTTTTATTTTCCTTTGTGCAGGGCTGTCATTAAGAGGCAGGGTCCAGGGATTTCCCCCATTTACTATGAACTTGGCCCCCGGCTACTTTCGTAGAAAAATAGAAGAAAAATATAACCAAAAGAAACCCCTAACTGTCTGACTCCCGCCTATTTTCTATATTTACCCACCAACTTAAAATCTTAGTGACAGCCCTGCTTTGTGGTGTGGTCTATATTTTGTTTAAAAAATGTATTCTGGTATCAAAAGCTCTCAGATTTTTTAGTATTGTAGCTTTCAGTTGTATTGCTCAGTCTTCATCAGTGGTGAATGCTCAGTGTTGTAATGTAAATTATTAGTCATTGACAACGAATGATTAAAAATCATGAGAAGTTCATAGCTCTATTTAGGGTTAGGCTGCAGTACTAAAAAATCTGAAACCTTTTGAGACTAGAATTTATTTTTCAGATTTCAATTCCAAGGTCAAGAATAAGCATTCATGGAATTATTATTTTGTTTGTTTTAGATATCTAATGAAGTTGAAATTTAGAATCATTAATGTTTTAACCTCCAACAAGGGTAGAAATTTTTATGTTTGAAAAGTGTATGTGCTCCACATTTACATAACAATTATCGTTCAACAATGTGAAATTACCACTGCACAAAAGGGACTGCAGGGTTGTCATTAAGAGCCGGGGGCCGGGGATTTTCCCCGGCTACTAAGAGAGTGGCCCCCAGCTACTTTTATAGGAAAATAGAAGAAAAATAGAACCACAAGAAATGCCTAGCCGTTTGATTCCCCACTTACTTGTTGTATTTACCCGGCAACTTGAAATCTTAGTGACAACCCTGGACTGTGTCGCGGCCGTCTTGCTTGTTTTGTTATTATTGCCAATTACACTGTCTTATGCGCTGTGGAACTTAGTGTTAGGGAACAAATTACCTGTAAATGACAAAATGACAGCTTCTTGTCCAACAAATATACCTCCCTCCCAAGCAGTATATCAAGAATTACAATGAACAGAAATGAACTTTGAAAAACTATTAGGCTAACAAGATTTCAAAAATGTACGATTGCGATCTGTTTTAATCTTCTTCAGGTTTGTCCATCCATGCCTTCTTTTCTATTTTCTGTGCTATTTACACATGTGCCTTCTTTTGATGTTTTGTAATTGAGCGGTTATTTCTATGTTTGACTCAATTTGGTGACAGTTCCTGCTGTTAAAATTTTGATAAAGGTTGTGACACTGCTCTATTGATGCTGTGGTGGCAAAAATGTGCTACTTACTCTCTCTTCCCAGTTCATAATAACTATGACCATTTTCTGTTTTACAGGTTGTTAATCCAATACCTGAGGTGACAACTGCTGTTCCGCTTCCTTTACCAAATGGAAAATCCCTTCCTTCATTCTCATTTTCACCCACCTCCCAGACTGGGAAAACAAATTCACCATCAACGGAAACAGTGAGTTTTTTTTTTTCTAAATGATTTTTTATGCTACATGTTTGACTGCAGTCCTAAAACAAGAGAGAAACCTTTTCCTGCTATATTCTGCCTTGTACATAAAAATTAATGTGAAAATAATAAATGCAGAAAAGATCATCGCAGTTAATTAATATGCAACTTACACAGTTGTGAAAGGAAAACACCAGTATTGCAGAGGTCAGGGTTTGGATCCCAGCAAGCCTGAATTTTTTAAGGCTTTCTTTTTGCAACTGCGTAACGATATCTGCATTTACTTCTTCATCCTGCAGTTCAAATATTTGAAATTCATGTAAATTTATTATTCAGCTTTTTACATTTAATATGGTTGACAGTCCCTGTGGCTTGAGAGTTTTGATGTTGTTTCAGTTTCACCAAGGGCTGGTCATCATCCTCTGTTGTGTGGCTGACATTAGGGAAATTTCTTTCACTTTTTAATCCTTTGAAGGGGCTCTATCCCAATATTAATTTTGTGATCCATATTTTGCAACTTGTAAAACCATCTTGAAACCGAAGGAATCGTTTAAATGTGATAGTTTTGAAAATTAAAAAAAAGATGGAAGGTACACTGTATCTATGTGGATTAGAAAATTTAACTTAATTTTCTCAAGGTGGGGAGACTTTGATGTATCATTTCTAATCCTTAACTAAACTAGCTTGGGAGTAAGAAGTGCTTAAAATTCCTAGTTCTCATCTTGATCATATAAAAATCTGTCATTCTTGTTTCTTTCCTTTTTTAGTTGGTCCCAACAACCAATGCCACGTCAACAGGAGATTTTGCAAAGAATAACTTCAAATTCTCTGCACCTTCCACAAAAGTACCAGCCTTTTCACAAGAATTATCCACAATCAATCAAAGTAGCTCTAACATGGTAAAGTACAGTATAATTACAGAAAACAATATTCTCCTATATAAGCACATGTACCCTGCGCCGGGCTTGACGTTGCGACCCATGGGGTCGCCAATGCGACCAGCTTTTACTCAGTCGCGACCAAATTTACGCGCCTGGTCGCCAACCTGGCCCCCAAGATAGGTGACTTTCTTCTTTGGGAAAACGTACACTAATGATAATCCGTTATCCTTCACAAAACTAAATCCATTAATTCTTGAATATAATTTTTGGCGACCAGAATACTTGTTCTGGTTACAAAAAAGGAAAACTTGGGTGCCAGCTGGCCCAAAGATTTTTTTCTGAAAGTTGAGCTCTGCTGTGGCCCTTTTTCTTGAAATTTCTGGTTTGAAAATTCTGGAAACTCTTCGGGTCAAATGTATCATCATTTCAATTTATCCTTGGAGAGCGAGGGCCTACGAATCCAAAAAGAATATGAGAGTTGTTTAGAACTTACTCTTACGAATTGCATTCCTTGCTTCTGCTTGACCAAAACATAATAAAACTTGCAATATTATTTGTTAAAGAAAAACGTTTTGTTAAGTGACCAAAGCCAGAAATTTGCCAACTTCTTGAAACTAAAAAAAATGAGTTCCTGCAGATCTGAAGGTCATTCTCAAAGGTACTCTTATTTCCTGGAAAATTTTTAACCACAGAGTCTCAGAAACTTTGAGCTTTTTAATATTCCAGCATTCTGGGTTCTAATTGTGAGCAGGTCATAAAATGTTTTGGGAGTTAATAGGGGTCACATGAGACAGATTTCCCAGGGATGGCCTACAGAATCAAGCCTTTATGTGTGTTTATACTTTTCAATTGATGCTTCACAAATGTTGGAAAAAATTTGTCCCACAACATATGGCAAAAACTTTAAAGTTCTTGTTGAACGTTATTGTGGAGGTACATTACAAAAAAATTGTTCTTCCAAGAATTTACTCCTTGTAAGAACGACTGGGTTTTTTGGAATTATCTGATTTTGATTCTTCTTTCTCTTAGATTACATTTGCCTTCAGTCAGCCCACTCCTGTCAATGAAATGTAAGTCGTTAATAATTTTTGCCAAAACAATGTTGTCTGTCATTGTGTTTTTGCCTGGTCTTTAACTTTTCATGTCATAATACGGTCGCAAGAAATGACTAAAGAGTGGTAGACTGCAAAAACAGCCATCTCTCCTCGCTCCTCACCGCAAGGGACGTGGTGCCAGGAGGGACATCTGTTCCTCAGCAACAGAAATTCCATACTGATGACCTAAATCAATGTTTTCATAATTAATCCAGTAGTCATGGGGTTTCTAATGAAAAGTTGATCAATTTTGTTTCTCCTGGACAATAATGGTGGTAAGTTTTGTGTTCTTCTGCAAACAAGCTTCAGCAAAATGCAAATACCTCTTCTACAGAAGAATATATTCCACATATGTTGACTGTTTTGTAGTAGATTCATCGTGTTTACATTTGACCTTTGAGGCCTTTTGTCTGTCATTTGTAAACAGGAGCTAAAAAATATTACTACTATGTCCACCAATCAGAGCTCCTCTGGCCAGATTCTGGACAGACTTTATATCACCAGTATGAAATTTCTGTAGCGGAGGCGCTTACATCCGTCTTAGCAATTTGTCCCCAGCGGCAAGGAGTGAGGGAGATGGCTGTTTTTCCAGGCTTAAAGAATGGCAGGGACCTATTAGCACTAATACGGTGCTGTTTGTACTATTGATTAAACCCCACCCTCAGTAAAATGCAGCAGATGGAAGTAAAATTTCAAATAAGTGTCCCACCCAGTCAGAAGAATGCGGCTTTTATTTGAGGATTATATGAAAAAAACTTGGTAAAACTTGATACTCTTCACCATCTAGACAATTACAATTCCATTTCAGCAAAAAAAGTAACACACTATTTTAACATCTTTCTGTTTTGCATAATATTTACAAATGATTTATCGAAAATCCTAATTTATTGTTGTCAGTGATTTAGGAAATGTGATTTTGAAATAGAGTCCTCCCTCTAATAAATGCAACGCTTGAATAAAGGCCGCATCAGAAACACTAAAAAGCTAATAATTGCTGCTGCATTTAATCAAATAAGTGTTGCTCTTCATCAGATTTTTCCAGGCACATCTTCAAATTCTTCTTCATCAATGGTTTTTCCTTACAGTTCAAATTAATTTTTGTGGTAATACTGTTTCAGTGTTGAAGTCAATGATAATCAACCAATCAAGGATGCACAAAGCGCCTGTGTAGTTTCAGAGGTATGTCAGGTTATGATCATCACCATTCAGGGCTGTGCTCTAGCAGCACCCAGTGGCCCCTGGATTTCACAGGCCCAGAGCACTGGGCTCCTTTCTAGTTTTTTTAGAGCACAGCCTTGCCTTTGAAGAGCCTTAGTGATACATTTTGCTATGATAGGATGTGTACCTTGGTACACTGGCTAACATCACAGGGGAGGGGAATGTGCCTACATGTATCGGTAGGCAGAAAAAAATTTGTGGATTGGTACCCTTTTCGGAGGCTAAAAGCGAAAATGATATAAATGCGATTTCCTCTCTCCCTTCTCAGGCCATGATATGACACATACCATTAGCTTTATAACAGGGCAGGAGCCCTTCTTTATCGAAATAACAATGCCACAATATAAACATTTTTGGCTTGTGGAAAATAAATATTGTTGTGATGTGTTATGGCACTGATGCAGCACTAGTCTTTTGCTGTTGCGGATGTTGTTTGTAACAGCACCTTGACTCATCATGATCATCATTCTTTGTTATTCACTCTATTCTGGTAGTACAGAAAAAAGAGGAAATATAGATAACTACAGAGAACAAATAATATAGCTGATATTCAACTAAAACATGTACAATTCTTAAATCAGTGTGCAACAGTAACCAAGCTTTAGAGCTGGCTACCGCTTATTGGCAAAGAAAGATATGCAAATAAAGACTATAAGCTCATCCTGGCTAATGGATACAACTTTTTTACTTGACAGTTTAAACAGGCAGAAAAACCTCTGGAGCCAAATAACAATCTCTTCAATAAATTTGCCCCATTACCCGGCTCATGGGAATGCGACACCTGCTTAGTGTCCAATAAGGCAACAGACACAAAGTGTGTTGCATGTCAGTCATCCAAACCTTCTACTGGTAAACCAGCTCCTCCTAAGAAACCAGCACCGACAAATAATGACTTGATGCAAAAATTTGCCCCAGCGGCAGGGTCTTGGTCTTGTGATTCTTGTATGCTTAACAATGATGCAAGCAGAACAAAGTGTATTGCTTGCGAGACTCCAAAACCTGGCGTCAAACCAGCATTCACTCCATCGAAATCTGTTAATGCAGACACTAATTTAATGAAAAAATTCGCTCCTCCGGCTGACTCATGGAGTTGTGGTACTTGTGTGCTTACGAATAAATCAACGGACAGTACTGGTGTGGCTTGCCAGTCACCCAAGCCAGGTACTAGTAGAACTGCAAAAGCAACTGCTGCACCATCATCGGGTGTTTCAACAATCACTGTGCCTGACAGTAGTTTAGCAGCAAAGTTTGCTCCTCCTTCTGGATCTTGGGAATGTGACACTTGTATGGTAAATAATAAAGGCGAGGATACAACTTGTGCGGCTTGTCAAACACCAAAACCAGGCGCAAAGCCAACTGCAACCATCACTTCTGGGGGATTTTCATTACCTGGTGGGAAGGCATCTTCTTCTTCTTCACCATTTCAATTTGGCGTCAATAATTCATCTGATGCAAATTCTGGTACAGGATCTTCGATCAAATTTGGAGTAGACACGAAGTCTACGGGTGGACCAAGTTTTTCAACACCATTCACATTTGGAGCGGACAACAAAAGCACAAGTGATTCAACTGCCTCTGTGACATTTACTTTTGGTTCTAGTAGTGGAGAGCAGAACAAAAAACCTAACACTGAGCAGGAGGCAGAGAGTGCAGGGAAACTTCCTGCCACTTTTAGATTTGGTGCAACTTCAGCTAACTCCAGTGAGCCAGGAGAGAACAAGACAACCGCTGCTCCAACTTTCACTTTTGGCTCATCAAATTTTAATCATGACAGCAAAGATGGGACTGCAAAGGCACCAACGTTCACGTTTGGAGCAAGCAGCTCGTCTGACAAGGACAAAGCAACTTCCGGAAGTGTTAAATTTGGGGAATCTTCAGCACTTGACAAACAAGGTACTACGATAACTGTTGTTGTGTTTGTTTGGTTTTTGCCCTGAATTATATTGTGATTTTGTATGTTTGTTTTAGGCTTTAAAGATTCCCTTTATTTCATTTTCTCAAAGAGCCTAGACCACAGCTTTTTAGCGTTTTATAGTGCTTGTAAGCTGCAGCAGCATCTGCCCTTTTTTAGTAAGCAGAGGTCTCCTGGAGGTTTATTTTTCAGTGCATTTGGACTTGGGGGGTGGGCGGAAAGGTGCTTAACAAAAGTTCTCTTTTTCTGTCACTCTCTTTATTAATGTGCTGAAAAGATGTTTAGTAAGGCAAGCTATTTCAAGCCCATAAGCACGTACCTCCTCCATTTTTTAAAGCTGAGTACCACTACGAATTGTCCCTAGTTTTCTCTTAGGGATAGTCGAGCGAGCGAAATATGTGAGCGCACGTGAAAATTCGCCACGCGCGAGAAGAGGCGAAACGGGTAGGAAAGTGACAAAACTTTCTCTATTCCTTCCGTGTGTCACCTTCGCCGAGGGTGACCATTTCCACGCCCTTTCGTGTATTTGTTTCACTTGGCTGTCCCTTCAAGGAAAGGTGAGCAGGGAGCACGAACTAGCAAGTACTGGGTGGGGATGGTGGGAATGAGCCCAGAGAAAATATCCCCAAAGTAGATGATAGCAAGCGACTGGGGACTTAGCAAAATGAGCACAATATAACCCTTTAAGTCACATGAGTTACCATCATCAAGAGAAAAGGTTGTGAGAATTGATAACACGATCACTAAAGGGAAAATGCGTTGATTTTGATCTTTAATCAATTCCTTTCAACTAGTTCTTTAACAGTTACGACATCATTCAGTATGCCAGACTGTCTTGTCTGTTTGATTCAAGTATCTCACCATTTAAATGAATTGCAAATTAACCCGAAAAGAAATTTCGGGATTGGACCCCATGGCCTCTGCGTTAGCGCTGCAGTGCTCTAACCTGAGCTATGAAGACCCATACATTGGGAGCAGACCAATTTGTTGAGTTCATCTTAACCCGTGAAAGGATTAAAATACAGAATGATGGTGTGAATTGCGGAAATGATTTAAAATATGAAGATATGATATCTTCATTTAAATTATTTCCGCAGTTCACGTCATCATTCTCTATCTCACCATTGGTATTACCATCAATCAATATCGGAGGTGGGGTCTATAGGCTGGGATCTTATGTGATCCGAGTAGTCTTGGTTTCTCGGACTGGGAGTGTTGTAAATGGGTTAAGTTGAAGCAACCAAAACTCCCTCATTTATAAAAATTACACTTTGACTGAAGCTGCTTTTGCTTTCTAGTTTAATCCCAATCAAATTTTTTCCGCGTAATGAAATCTACTTCCGTTCTACACTAATCGGTGACACGCCTCGAATTTATTCAAGAACAGTTTGTTACCCTGAAGGAGACTAGATTTTGTATCCTAATTTCTCCTTCACAGATAAACCAAACTCAATAGCAGCAGCTGCAGCGAGTGGTTTTCTAAAGGTACCTGGGATGAACGAACCAGCAAAAACCGCAGCTGAACAGACATCCAGCAGCCAGTCAGGAGTAGGTTTGAGTATTGCCGATGCAGCTAAGTCAGGATTCCTTAGAGTACCTGCAGTTGGAGAAAAGAAAGGTCAGAAAACTGTCACTTGTCTTAGCTTTGTTTAAAGGAGTAGTGTCACGAAATTTATCAGAATTGAAAGAGTGGGGACCGTCGGCAAACTGAGTGAAACGTACAAATAACTGCTCAAAACATGAAAAGAAGTTATAAATAACACAGCAAATAGAACAGGAAGAGCTGGTGGGCAAACTTGAGGAAGCCTTTGATGCAAAGTGTAAGCACAAGCAACACAGTGCATGCACATGAACTAGTCAGTTCCTGTTGTGAATTAAGCTGAAGTACGCTGTGGCGACTGCGAATGTGTTGCTTTTGGTAATGCTTGCTTCGTAACTTTGTAAAAGACTGAAGAAGGTAGATATGGTTCCAAATATTTCTGCCTTGCAGCTCAAGTCGGAAAAACGGATTTGCAGTAATCAAGCAAACATCTTTGATTAAAGTTTGTGTTGTAGTCTTACTTTAAACTTGAAACTCTTCTTCCTGCTAAGCACTTGAAGTACAGTAGTATCTGGAAAAGTGGATTTTCGCTTTGTACAGAAGTAGGAAAGACGAAGCAAACATTCCGTTAATATAAATTTAAAGAAAAATCCCAGTGTTGTATACACGCCGGCGTGCTTCTAAGTGCACACGCATTGGTGTCTGGCGCCGTAGATTAATAGTACACAGCGTATAGAAATATACCCGAGAGTACATCGTTTAAAAATTAATATTTTTGTTATGTTTTTCAGATGAGTTTTCCTCTCCTCCAGTTGTGAATCTATTTGCACCCGCTCAGAACAGCTCAGGATCTACAACAGCTAAACCAGAGACAGGTTTGTTTACAAGGTTCTTAACCCTTTAAGCCCCGATATCTACATACAAATTCTCCAAACTGATCTCCGTACATTTCCTTAAAGAATTAGTTAACAGAATTTGTTCAAAGATCAAAACATTTTCGCTGAGGTGATCATTTTATTGATTCTCCTAACCTTTTCTTTTGATAATGTATTGATATTGTGAGGAGAAAATTGATGTTGGTCACTCTTGGGGCTTAAAGGGTGAAGAAAGTCCATATTTGACCATCTCATTTAAAATTTCGGCCTTATCGCTAGCAGGCAACAGTAAAAACCCGCATGTATGAACCGCCTACATAACCTATCCATCCTGCTTTCACCTTACCCCAGTTTCTGTGACAAGAATCAGATAACACTCAGTGAGTAGGAGAGTGTTTTAATAACATTTTGGTGTGGTATTTTGTTTAACAGGGTCAGGATTTACATTTTCTATGCCTCCAGCAGCTGCCGGTGGTGTTAATTTTGGATCGGCATCATCTACTTCTGGGTCATTTGCTCAAGGCGGCCTTGAAGCAGCTGCTTCATCCGGGACTACATTTCAATTCGGAGCATCATTAAGCTCAAATCCGACTGTAACTTCTAAAGCAGACGCTACAGCAGCCCCTGCACCATCTCCTTTTAGTTTTTCTGTTAATACTTTAGCACCTGCAACGACCACAGCTGCTGCACCCTTTACTTTGATGGCGAATGCTGCGTCAACAACTACCGCACCAGCGCCGTTTAGTTTTAACACAAATACTGCGACTACAGCATCAATCACCACTTCTGCCACTGCAGCCGGCACTTTTCAATTTGCTCCAAGCGGTCAAGCTCCGTCATTTCAATTCGCTGCCGTTAACACGACATCGGTGACTACCGCTGCTCAACCAGCACAACAGACATTTAGCATAACACCTACTCCAGCAAGTTCCAGTTCAGAAACAGTAAAACCGTTTTCATTCAATTCTGGCTCTACCTCCCAGGGATTTTCTTTTGCCCCATCCAACCCCCCAGCAACGTTTAATTTTGGAGGATCAAAACAATCAGCTTTCGCAGGATTCGGAGCAGCACAGTCATCTTCAAATCAGCAGGCAGCTAAGAACGAACCGGCTTTTGCCTTATTTGGAGCTGCACAATCGTCCTCAAATCAAGAGGTAGCTAAACAAACGCCGACTTTCCCGGGATTTGGCGGTCAACCTCAACAACCATCAGCTTCGGTTAGTATTTCTACATTCCAATGCGTATTTGTTCAGTGTCAGCTTTTTGGGCTATTCCTATTGGTCAAGGAGGGGTGAGGGACTGTTTTCTTTGACTTCAGGCAGTAGGCCAAATAGGTAGGCGTGGTTTCCCAGAAAGTTTTCCACGATTTTAAAACAACTGCATCGATACGTTGAGGTTGGGTGCCTGGAGTATCCAAGGTCTTTCACTTTTGGCAGACAGCCTCTTGATAGAATAACGCACCCATGGCTGGTACAACGGCGCAACCCAGCCATAAGCCCCCACATAAAAGGAAAAATGTCAATGAAGAAAGAACCACAGGGAGGGGAGGGGAAAGGAAAATTGGCTGAAAAAACGTTCGTGGCGAAACAACGCTGCTGGAAGAAAACTCCACATCCCACTGAATCAGTTAGGGGTTTGGTAAACTACCGGGAATGCGCACACCTACCGCGGACCACTCCTATAAATTACAATTGCTCCAAAAATCGGCTTTTCTGCTCCGCTAGACATAAACAAAGTCGCCAGAACTTTGAAGTCTCCAAGAAAACTCAACTTCCTTGCCAGGAGCTCTCCTAAAAAAAAACGATGCTGACGAGTACAGAGTTAAGTAGAGTCTACTATATGATCAAACCTGAAACCAAAAGCGACTCTTGCCTTTTTAAAATAGATGCAGGTAGATTTGTTACACAGATCAATGATTTAATGCAATTTTCTTTTTCTCACAGACATTTACGTTTGCTCCGCTATCGAACTCGACATCAGCGCCTTCTGAAGAAACCATGGAGGCTGATGGCAGCAACAGTGGAACCAACCTATTTGCCCCATCAGGTGATTAAGCTTAAAAAGTGTGCAAATGATAGGGAGCTAAAACAACGACGTTTTTAACGACGCACGTGAAACCGGAAGTGCAGTTTTTGCATTCTCGCGTCATGGTTTTGGCAGGTTTTTTTGCGCCCAAATCGTCTCTATGAGTCTTGAGACACTTAACAATGGAAAAGGTCTCACTTCCGGTTGACGTGCGTCGTTGAAAAACGGGTTAACACTTCAAGCCCCAATGGTGACCAACATCAATTTTCTCCCAACAATATCCATACCTTGTCAAGAGATAAGGTTATGAGAATCAGTGAAATGATCACTAAGAGAAAATGCTTTGATCTTTTATCAAATTCTCTCAACTACGTCTTTAAAGAAATGTATAGAGATCAGTTTGGAGAATTGCTATGTTGCTATTGAAGCTTTCTTTTCATGCCGACATGAAAAGCTATCCGGTATGGTGTGAACGGTAACTGAACGGCACAAAACTAGAACAAGTGGTTGACACATATCGAACATCGTCCCGGAGCGGTTGGTCGTAACCATCACTTCCGAGTATTTATTTCCGGCTCAATGGGTTTCAGCCCTGGAGCCGGGGACTCCTCGCTCATACTCCTTTACTTCCGCTACGGTCCTAACATATGTTTACACCGCAATAGGACTAGCTCAGTCGGTAGAGCGCTTGACTGAAGAGCGGTAGGTCGGGGGTTCGATTCCCGGGATCGGACCATTACTCAGGGTCTTGGAATAACTGAGAAATGAAGGGTACTCCCTTTGTACTGCAAGCGGCGAGACCTTCGCGTGGCTCGGATGATCACGTAAAATGGCTATCCCGTCTCCAGTTGGAGACGTAAAAATAGTGTCCCCAATTAGTACTGTCGTGCTAAATACGTTGACACTCAAATAAAGAGCTTTTTTTTCATACTGCGACGAAGAGTGGGAAAAACCTATCCGATATGTCACAATCCACTTTGAAGATCAGCGGGTTACAGAAATCTCGCCGAAGTCATCGTTATGAGTGAACAGAACCCCTATCCGGTATGGTTTGCGTATCGGCGCAAGATTCGGTGTAACGTTAACATGTCCGAAGTAAACAAATTGTATTTTTACGGTGGTTACCTAACCGTTGCGGGTGTTACTTTAAGTAGTTTCCTTTTTTTGCGAGAATCCATTTTTTGATTGTGCCATGAGCTCTTTCACCCCTGCGCTCGAAGTTAATCAGGGACTTTAAGATCCAACGACGCGACGGCAACGAGAACGTCGCTTAAAAATTGAATTTACGTTCTTTTAGACTTTACAGCGATTATTCCTACCCACTTACGTTGTCAAATGTAGGCGAACCCTCCTAAAGCTAGATCTCAGGTGACCATATTCAAACTCAGAAAGAGAAATAATAATTCGTCGTGCTTGTTTACGTCCTCCTTAAAACGCGCGAAATTAGGAATTTTCACGTCGAAGCCGTGCAAAAACAGGAAAGAAGTGTACAAAAAAGCGTGATGGACTTTCAAAGTTGTTGTTTTGCTTATTAAGCCTTTTGTTTTTTTGACGTTGTCGTTGCTGTCCGCGTCATTGGATCTTAAAGTCCCTAATGACTTCTGTAAAATTACCTCCATGAATTAACCATTTCTCCTTTCTCTTTTAGCCAACGCAATGACCACTCCATTCGGTTCCTCTGGGCCCAGCACAGCATTTAATTTTGCAGCCCCAACCCCTCCCGCCTCAGGAGGCTTTAACTTTTCTGCACAGGCGACTAACACAGGATCATCGCCGTTTGCGTTTGCACCGCCTGGAGGAGGAACGCCTTCGTTTGGTGCTAGTAATACGCCAGCGGCCAACGGTGAGCTTTACGGCTTGTTGATAGGGCAGTTTCAATCTTGTCGTTTTACATTTTTCATTTATACCAAAGCAGCATCACCTTCAGTGATTTTGTCACCCCTGCGTCCTGCGTTCCTGACACATAAAAATCCCCAAAGACGCAAAATAATTGATCACATCTGTCCCGTAGGACGCCAAGATCGATTGACCAATTTGAAAATGTTTTTTGTAGTATATCTTCGTGTGATTTCTGTGGCTGTTGTTTAACGATGCGTAATAGTTTCAGTCTTTTTCTGTCCTTCAATTGGAAGGTACTGGTATATACTGTATTAAAGAGATTTGAACTATGTCTTCAGATTAGCTGTCTGGTTACATAAAGGCCCAAGCGTTTTCGATTGAGGACATCGTTTTTTGAACTGGGACTCAATGGTTCTTGACTGGAACTCGTAATTTTTCTCAAGATGAACTACAGGACTCACCATAACTATTTCTAACAAAGACGCTGAACGTGAATTGAGGTTCGCGTAATCTTGAATTCGCACTTCTAAAATATGAGTCCTTTAAGGTTTCCCCCCAAACTTATCAACAATTTACTAACTTGACGTTTTCTCGGTTTATAGCGACTCCTCCCGCCGGTTTTAACTTTGCTCCCACGGCGACTAACAATAACCTGAATAGCTCCGGAATGTTTAGTTTTGGAGGCGCACAACCCCAGGGGAACACGATGTTTACAGCAGGAACTGGCGGAGAAAATGCGGGAATAGCCGGGAGGAAGTTCAAAAAAGCCGTGAGACGCACTAAGCGTTAGCGACAACACTCGTCTTACTAGAGGCTTACCTGACAAGACTGTAGTACACTAACCGAGTGCAAACAAACGTTGCGAGACGAGACTTTGTCTCTAACCGATTAACCCCGACGGGTTAACGAACGTGCGACGCTACTCCGATCTGTTCCGATGACTTAAACGTGCGGACGATAGACAAAAACGCTATGAAACGGCGACGCGTTGTCGCTAGACGTTTGACAAAATGGAAATACGCGTACGTACGAAGGCGCACTGCATGGATTCCTCCTTCCGCGGAATAAACGAGGTGTATCCATTTGGACGATTAAAGTTTTAGGGTGTAAAACACCCTTGAAAACAAGCTCCGACCACGAAATTTTGTAACAAGGAAATTTTTCTTCAACACTGCGACCACACTCTCTATGGACAAAGTTACTCCACCGTACAGACCAATGACACTTTTGTTATTAATATATATTTTTTGTATCAATGATTGTTAATGCGTATGAAGTATTTGTTGTAAAGCGTGCAATTTGCATCGATGTGTGAGGATTTAGTTTCTCGGTTTATTTTAGTTCCACTGATTTGCAAGGAGTTGCCTCTTAACAAAGATTTGAATGCTTTGAGGCAGTTCGTAGAAATTGGGAGAAATTTCTATACTTTATTTCTTTTGTTAGTGAGAAGCAGCGGGAAAACAATCGCGTGCGACTTCCTTATTCGCGCGCGATGTGTCTCAGAGGAGTGATGACCAACCAGCCCAGAAATGTGATGCGATGTAATTGTTTTAAATTTTATAGTTCTATGATCCATACTCCGAATAAATTAAAAGAAGCAATTCCTTGTAAATTAAGAAAAAACAATAGGAGCGATTTTTCAGAGCGATAAAAGACAAGATTGGGGAGAGTGCAACCTGTATGGGGGGACGATAGAAAAATGTAAATACTCTATCCGCTATTTAATTTAATTTCTGTCAAGTAGTCATTTGCACTCGCGATCTCTTAATTATCTTGGTGGGTTTTCACGTCGCAAGTCAACCGAAATGATTTTACTCGCCATCTTTTTGAAATTGTAAGCATTTGAAAAATAAATATTAAACCATATAACCTATCTTGTGTAGTGAAGTCCATTGCAAATTACTGGAAATATGTGCCCATCTCCAAGTTAAGAAACATTTTACCTTGTAGTTTTACTATTTTCCAGGTTTCTTTGTGATTGACGAGCCAATCAGATCAATCAAGCGTGATGGACGAGGGAAAAGGTGGAAACCTACCTCTCTTTTTCTCTTTCCCCCTCTCATCGTCTCGCTCGCGTTCATTATTTTCCACTCCTAAAGCCACTTACGACACAAAGAGGAAGGGAGCCTATTTCAGCCTTTTCTCTATGCTGAATCGACCTTGAAAAATGTGTTGTACAACAATAGAAATTCATTTCGAACTTTTCAAACAAATGCCTTTTTTAGATGTCAGTTAAAGGAAATTAACCGTTTCTGTAAAAAGAGCCAGAATATTGAATGTTAAAGTCTCCACCCCCTTGAGACCCGCCTTGGTTTCCCGCCGTCGAAATCAACCAGGTAATAGAGGTAATGCGGTAACAGAAATTTATTATAAGGCATCAGAATCAACACGGTCACAGAAGTAACAAGGCCACATAAGCTGTAACCAGGTTACTACAGGTTAAAAATGAAGAGCTAACATCATCATCATCATCATCAGTCTTTATTTATACACGACATCGTATCACGTTACATGGTCTTCCCAGGAGTCGTGTGTAAAATTATACTAAAATACTCTAAGAAACTACTTGACTAAAAAGTTAAAAATCCAAAAACTTGTGTAATAACAAGAGTTACGATGAGTGATAGTGTATTAAGTTAATCTTTCCAATGAAATTAAGTTTTGAAAACACTTAAAGTAGGCAGGTTTCTAATCTTTGAGGGAATCTTGTTCCACAGAACAGTGGGGCCCCCTTTTGCAGACTCAGTCCTGGGTCTGGGGACATAGTAATTTAACTCCGAATTTCTAAGATTTTGGGAGTGTATATTTGTGTTGGTAAAGATCCGCCTCAGATATGACGGGGAAAGATTATTATGGATTTTATACATTGTCACAGCCAACTGTTTAAGTCTTACATATTCCAACTTTTCCCAGCCAAGCTCATCCAACAAAACACTTCAGCGAACCTCGTAAAAAAGGTGAGAGTTCTAGCCGCCCTATTCTGTATCTTTTGAAATTTGCCTGCTAGTCCCTTGTTGATATTACCCCATACAGCACTACAGTAATTAACATTCCCAGTGCATTGTACACATTCACTCTAGTATCAAATGGTATAAACTGACTTACACGCTTTAAGATAGCAAGACCAGCGGATATTTTCGTTGAAATGGTATTAATGTGTGGGCGCCGGTTCATAGATTCATCAATTTGAACTCCAAGGGATTTATGTTTAATTTTTCGTTCTAAGGGTGTATTATTAACTTTGACTGTGAAGTCACTATTTATTTGAGATAACTTAAATTGACTCCCTACAGGCATGTATTTAGTCTTCTCAACATTCAAAGTTGATTTGTTTGCTGACAGCCATGACTGCATTAAATTCATATCATAATTCATTTTATGTTCAAGGACACATGGCTCTTCTTCAGATTAGGTCAATAGTGTCATCTGCATACATTCTGGGTTTTGAAAACAAATTACATGAAGGGAGATCTTTGATCTAAATAGTAAATAAGAGAGGGCCTAGAATAGAGCCCTGTGGAGTACCGCATGTTACATTATAGAAATCAGATTGAGCTCCATCAATAAACGTTTGTTGCTTTCGGTCAGATAGATAGGACCGGAACCAGTTAAGAGTTTGAGAACTGACCCCATAGAGTTTAAGCTTTCCCAATAGGATAGCATGATCCATGGTGTCAGAGGCTTTTTTGAAGTCTAGGAATATCACACAATTTAAGTGTTAATATTCCCTAGCCATTCATTCGTTACCTCCAGTAAAGCTGTTTCAGTAGAAAACATAGGTCTGAAGCCAGACTGTGATTCAGGTAACAAGTTATTATCATTTAGATATTCATATAGTTGGTTAAAAACAACTCTTTCAATTAATTTACTTACTACAGGCAGAACTGAGATAGGTCTGTAGTTGTAAGGATCAGTCTTGAGGTCCTCTTTAAACATTGGCGAAACTCTAGCTCGTTTCCAAGCATTTGGAAATATTCCAGTGGTAATTGAGAGAGTTATTATAAAAGTTAAACTACGAGTAACTATGGAAGATGCTTCTTTCAGGAGACGTGCTGAGATGTTATCGAGACCACTGGCTTTATTACTAGGTATTTTCTGAATTAAATTGAAGACCTCCTGGCATGATACTTCCGCCAACTAAAAAAATTGTTCTGTGGGGGTAATATAATCAGTAAAATTATTGGATGTATTTCGAATTTCAGAGGCTAGGGAAGGTCCTATTTTGGAGAAATGTGTGTTGAGTATATTACTGATTTCAATGGGGTCAGTACTTACAGAATACCCTGTGTCCAGCTGAGTTATCTTATTGAATTCAGATTCATTTCCAATTAGTCTATTAATTCCTTTCCAAGTATTCTTCATGTTTCTGCGATAATCTTTGAAGAAGGCATTGTAATAGTTCATTTTAGCATTCTTCAGGGGCACTCAACGACATTTTTCGGAAAATATCTGTTGGGAAGACGATTTGAGATCTGGAATTTTCGGAACATTTGTTGTAAAATTTCTTGCTTGCCTGCCTCTCTAGGATTTTCGAACATCTAAAAAATGGTATAATTGCTCATTTTTAACGGATTTTTACCCTAAAAATGTCACCTAGAATTTTCGGGAGCCTTTTTTCTGGCTGAAATTTTCAAAAAGGTAAGTTTTGATCCCTATAATTTTCGGATCACTGGACTTTCAGCTAGAAAATCCGAACAGATTAAAAACTTTTAGAGTTTAAAAATATGCCTATATCTACCGTTTAAATACTAAAATACGTTTAACAATGCTATGTTTAAGTGGTTTTGAACTATATTCTCGTTGGGTGCCCCTGATTCTTGATTTCATAATTAACCTTATTATTCATGTGCTTGTAAGAAGTCCAATTGCCATCTGTTGGGAACCTCGAGGCTATTTTTTGGATTTGTCTCTTTGAAACATTAGCCTTTTTAGCTCCGGAGTAATTCAGGGGAAGAGACTCCTCTCACTCTCTTCTTTAGTGGTGCATGGTAATCGGCAATGTCTAAGAACATGTGTTGCCATATAAGGGTTATGCCACGGGACCATCGATAACTATCTGGAATAAAGTTCTTAAAGCATCTGCTCGTTACAGTCTTTGGATTTGATTTTGCGATACAAATCCGATCAATTAATTAGCTATACTGGTAACTATCACAGATATCTAGTAGCTTTTGTGTGCTGCAGTCTGGTGATGTTGCACCAACTTTACGATTTAGGTCACCGATAATGTTAACCTCCATATGATATGAGTCCAATTTTTGCAATACATCTTCAAATCTGTTCATTATTTCAGTGGTGGACCCAGGAGGCCTATACAGAGGGTACAAGTTAAAGTACGGTAACTCGCAAACAGAAGTAAATTACAGATGCATCAACTTTTATAATAAAGTGGATAAGGTCTTGTTACGTAAGGAAGGAAATGCCCCGGTAAGTTTTGGGAAGGGTAGGTATTTCACCGGCAGGACTTTTCCGCGGGTGACAGGTGGCAGGTGACGGGTGGTGGGTGACGGGTGACAAATTATCAGGCAGTCAAAAATATAAATAATAAAAAGAAAAAAGATAATAAACATTACAAAAAGCGATATTTTAGCAATATTCTTCTACACGATATCGCATGCACGAGATAGCTTGAGAAGATCGCATTCTCTTCTCGACATGTTTGAACAGTGTCTCAGATTTTTGACAAGTGTGTTTGTTCTTTTGTTATAAGTTGGGATAAACATTGCATTGCCCGTGGAATAAATCTTTACCAATTTGGTTCCCGACTTGCAGTTTAAAATGAACAAAATGTCTATTTCGAGATCTAGAAAACAAGGAAATTTTCCTGAGACTAAAACACTGAAAGCTGTCAATGTTAATACGTACCAGAGAAGGAGCAACAACGTTTTTGACACAGCATGGACCGTTTTTGCCGCATGTTGCGTCTCGGACGCGAATTGATCTCTTTGTATATGTTGTGGTTCAATTTTATCCTTGGTTTAAATTTTATTTCCCTTTGTTTCAAACTCATTATCATACATTACCATACCCAAAAACAAAGGGAAATAAAATTTAAACCAAGAATAAAATTGAACCACAACATATATATATACAAAAAGGATCTGCATTTTTTACAGTCAAACCAGGTCAAGCGTTCCCGTCGCTAACGAACTAATGAATTCATTCACGGAAAAATGATTTCGTTTGTTGATTCAATAATCCATTCATAAAATGAACAATCCAACAGTAATATTTAGCCTCGATTCTATAATCGAATGTTGATTCGATTACTGTTTTTTGAAAAATTCCACTTTCCACAAGTTGACCTCAGAATTTTGTTTTTTCCTCTTTTTTTTCTGAGAGTCGAGTGCTGGCGAGTTCTGAAGTTCAAACCCAAACAAACTGTTACATGTACGCCAGTTTGCTGCCAATAATCAGTGCAACAGACCTAGGCCTGACCTCTTAGAAAACACGACGGTCAAACTGAGGTCAGTGTATGTGCGGTGATTGGTGGATTTCGATCCTCGGCCTTTGTCAGTTTCTTTGCGTTTGCGGTCTGTCTATTCTAGCTGTTATTTTGATTAAAGGCAATGAAAAACGCAATCGTAAACGGCAGGAAAAGGGAAGCAAATACGATT